TAAATCCATAATTCTAAAATGAAAGCCAATAGTAGGCCTTTCTGGAGAGCCAGGCCAGAAATGCAACCGGAGTAGTGTCACAGCATGGCTTTCACAACTGCAAAAAGCCACTCGCTTCAAGTGTTGATTACCTAACAATCATAGAAAGTAGTAGCAATATTCAATAGCAATCAATAATTAAATTAAAATTATTGCAGTTAATTCTCACAGTCCAAATAATATCTATTGTTCCAACATACAATAGACAAGGTTGTTAAACAATATTGTTCTAACAGCAGAAAAAATGAAATTACACACTTGTTTAGTTAATCCATGCAACTGCATTATATCTGAGGGTTAATTAATGATCATGGCATGGGGTTTCTGGTTATAAAAGCTTAATCATAGTCTAACTTTTGTTGAAATTTTAGCATGCAGCTTTTGTTTGTGTATTTATGGATGGCTAATCTGTTTAAAAGTTTGGAGAAATAAAACCTCTGCTTAATTAGGTAAGCTTTAATTCCTATGCAACTTGATACTTAAGTTGTTGGAAAGTTTGACCTTGTAGATTTAGTAGCTTTAATGCAAACAAAGAATACTGAACAAATTCCTTACCAAATGCATCAATAAGTGTAAACAACTTGACAATTTGTGTCCCACAATTGTGGGCCCACTCAATTACAGAATTGTCTGGAAACAGTGGGATGAACTTAGTTTCCTAAGAAATAAAGAATGTAGGTTTTGTAGGTTAAAGCAGGTTTAATTTGCCTGAACACATTTGAATTTTAACTTTTTAAGTCTTACTGAATGTGTGAAAATAGCATATTACAGTATTGCAAAAGACCAACATCTTTAAAATCTTGAAAATAACATGTAGGTTGCAAATAGTTATTAAATAGAATAAGAAATTATAGAATGAAACGACATCTTTGACGTACGTTTATGCCATTAAATTGGCTTCTCCTTATAGAAATTAAGCCACGGAGGAGAGCTTTTAAAAGCTAGCAAATATTATCATATTTTTAAAGTTTTTTTAATCAACATTAATAATAGACAATACCATCCATTTATCCATCACGTGAAACTTATTTCGACTTTCGTGTTGTTCAATAGCACAGTTCTCGCAAAAAAACTGCCGTGGACCACAATATTTACAGCGAATATTGGCTTCATTTTGAGAGCAAACACCACACATGACACCACTCGGTAAAATCGCATCTTCGAACTTTGCTTTCAGCAATTGAGGCCGAATTTTTTCCCAGTTGAGATAATTACTAACATTTCTTCTTTGTGTGGCCGATTCTTCATTTTCTAAATCGTCAACGACTGGTAATTCATGAGGCGTTTGAGCGTTATGATCGATTTGCAAATCGCACGATTCGTCACTATGCAAATCTGCGTGGAGGCTTGTCGAATGCTTATTTGAAGCTGTTGTTTCTACATCAACAGTTAACGGTGTAGTTATTGACGATTTTCCATTTCTTCCCAACACAACAGTTTTTACGCACGCCTTTCGCATAATTGTAAAAAATTGCGCCGAAGTGAAGTGCGAAATTTTCTTGAATACTAATAAAATACAACCAAATCAAAGATTAAACTGTTTTATATCAAGTATTCTGATTGGTCGCTTAATATTATATTGAATGATTTAGATGATCATTTGGCCTGGGTTAGACCTGCACTTCTCAATTGAGAAATCTTGGGTTACAGCCGCTGAGAATATGTGACACGGGTGTGATCGTACGTCCATTTTGTCGTCTTCTCACTTCGACCATAACTGCTATCTTCGCCACCACATTGTGATACAGCGTCTTTCATGCCAAAATAGGACGATATAGTTTGCGAGGTGCAATTTTTTTGTGCCGTTTTACCAAATTTACATGAAACTTGCACTCCCTTATCCATTACTAAATTAAAACGTTTATCAAAATGCGCACACAGAGTTTGATTTGAAATAGACAATATCAGGAAAATAATCTGCAACAACTCGATACCAAAAAGTCAAAAACACGAAATTTAATTTATTTAACAGATTCAAAATCACAACGTCACCCACGCCAGATTTCATCCAATCAAAAACGTTGGAATTTCAGCGTCAATGGAACATATTGCGGACATTTAGTTCGGTTGGCCTTTTGTAATTTTATACTATTGTTATGATATTAAATTATACTGTCACACGTAATGTTATGCTCTGTTTTATTATCATAAATATGCGTCTAAAATACTCAATTCGTCAATACTTGAATCACATATCTTCTTCCTAGCCTCCAAAACAAAATCTCCTCATGGTCCGTACTTTTCCCAACTTTTCCCCACTAATTATCGTCTCTTCGTCACTACTTAAAAATGGACTGTTCACGTGTTCAGCGCATGCCATTGCTATTGTTATAATTATCTCGTAACATTACCCCCCTCTGCAAAAACACAAGCCCCCTGGCTTGTTCAGAGGAAAAACTAACTTGAACCAATATAAAAATACTTATTTATTAAAGATTAATTGTTAACGTTTGCTGTTGGACGGTGTTCGGGATGTCGGGCATAGAAATCTGTCCAAAGACGTTGATCCAAAATGTGGTCTGGTGGTTCCCACGTATTGTGCCGTTTTCCATATCCGCGCCATTTGATACGATATTCAGGTTTTCCATGGCGGACGCGATGACCAACAATTTGCTCGGCATCATAGATGTGGTTTACATTTTCTTGGGCGGATGTGGTTACTCCGGTCGCTGGTGCGTCATTAGAATGACTAAGTGGTGGGCAGTTTGTAGAGACATGAGATACACAGGAGGGGAAACTGTCCGCTGGTATGTCATGATCATGAAGATATGGTTCACTATCCATATCTGGATCTTCTTGCGGGGCTTCGATCGGCCGATCTTTCGGATCGAAATATGGTTTTAATCGGTTTGCATGAACTGGAGCGTGAACTAGTTTGTTTTCCAAGGTTCGCAGCTTAAAGTGAACAGGGGATAATTTTTCCACGATCCGGTACGGTCCGTGGTAATTGTGGAGCAGTTTCTTTGACAACCCTTTACGGTTTTTTGGTGTAAAAACCCACACTCTGACCGATTGTGTACGGAGGTTGACGCGCTGACTGGTCATACCTGGCTTTCATTTTAAGTTGAGCCCGCTGGGTGTTGGATTGGATAAGCTGTTTGACTTCCTCAAGGGTTGTCACAATGCGGGCGCGATGCTTAGCTACAGACGGGCTAAGATTGGTAGGTGGAAGTAGGCTAACGTCCATTGGGAGACGAGGTTCACGACCATAGAGTAAGTAAAACGGTGACTCTCCAGTGGTAGCATTCGGAGATACTCGGTAGACTTGTGGAAGATGTTCATCCCAATCCTTTTGGTTGGTGCTAACATACATAGAAAGGGTTTGTGCCAAGGTACCATTGAACCTCTCTACTAACCCGTCAGTTTGGGATGGTAAGCAGTTGTGTTTAATTTAGCTGTGTTCATCAGTTTGCACGTTTCCTTGACAAGGGCTGACAGGAAGTTACTACCTCGATCAGAAAGGATGGTCCGGGGTGCACTGTGTCGCGTCATGATCTCGTTAATGAGAAGGGAAGCGATACGGTGAGCTTCACAAGAGGGTACGGCGAATGCCTCAGGCCAACGCGTGTAATAGTCCGAAAAGACGACAATGTAACGCGAGCCAGAATTCGTTACGGGAAACGGACCGAGAACATCCACAGCTACGCGGTGGAATGCTCCTTCGACGGGGATGGGAAGAAGTGGGGCTTGACGGCGATAACGGGGCGACTTCTTCATAGAACAGTCAATGCAAGATTTGCACCAATGTTCGATATCTTTGAACATTCCAAACCAATAGTATTTTCGCCGTAACTTCTCATAGGTTTTTTGAATTCCTAGGTGTCCACTAGTAGTGTCGTCGTGAGCATTAGTAAGGATTTCGTGACGCAGAGAAGCCGGAACTACTAGTTGGCTGAAGAGATTACCAGCCTTTCGCTTGCCAGGGGACCAAAGATGACAGAGGATACGGTCGTCGTTAAGGTAGTAATCATCAACGTGGAGGAGCAAAGTTCTGGCTACGCGTTGATCATTTGGCAGTTCCTCAGATTCGAGATAGGTTATCAGGTTTTGCAGGTCTGGATCTCGGCGTTGCAGATGACGAATGGTGTCAACTTGGACTCCTGGGGTGTCGATGGCTGTGATGTGGATATTTGAGTATGGTAAGCGAGAGATTGCATCGGCATTACCATTCGATGTGCCTGGGCGATGGATGATCGCAAAGTCATACTGTTGAAGCTGGAGGGCCCATCGTGCCAGTTTGCCGGTGGGGTCTTTGATGCTCATCAACCACTGTAATGCATGATGGTCTGTATGGACATAGAATTTTTGCCCATAAAGGTAAACTTGATACTTCTTAATAGCTTCAACAACCTCGATTGCTTCCCGTTCCGTAGTGCTATAGTTACATTCAGCCTTATTGAGTTGCCGACCGCCGTATGCGATGACAACGTCTCGCCCTTCGATGTTCTGACCGAGAATATAGCCGAGTCCGGTTGCACTGGCATCAACATGTAGATGAAAGGGTGGGAGAGATTTGGATACGCCAAAATCGGTGGGTAACCAGGGCGTTCTTCAGGCAATTAAAGGCTCTTTCACATGACTCATCCCACTTAAATGCGGTATTCTTTCTGGTCAACCGAGTGAGGGGAGCGGCAATTGATGAAAAGTCTTTCACGAACCGGCGGTAGTAACTTGCAAGGCCAATAAAAGCACGAATGTCCTTTACACTTCGAGGACGAGGGAAGTCACGTACCAATTGTGTTTTCTCGGGGTTAGGTTGGATCCCATGTTGGGAGATAAGGTGACCAAGGAAAGACACAGATTGTTGGCCAAAGAAACACTTACTCGGATTCAAAGTGAGGTTAGCCGCTCGTAGACGATCGAGAACTAATCTTAGGCGGGAAAGGTGTTCGTCGAATGTGCGAGAAAATACGATAATATCATCCAGATATATTAGTCCAATCCTTGGAGTACTTGGTGCATTAAGCGTTGAAGGTGGAAGGTGCATTGCACAGACCGAAAGGTAGCACACAGAACTCGTATAAACCCGATGCCGTGGCGAAGGCTGTGTACTGTTGAGATGATTTGTCCATTTCGACTTGATGATAACCGCTACGAAGGTCGAGTGTACTGAAGTATTTGGCTCCAGAGAGAGCATCTAAAGCATCATCTACTCGTGGAATTGGATAGCTGTCCTTACGTGTAACCGAGTTGAGCCTACGATAGTCTACACAGAAACGGGATGAGCCATCTTTTTTCTTGACCAGGACAACTGGAGCACTCCACGGACTATTGGAAGGTTGAATCAAGTTTGCATGCAGCATTTCTTGAACATGGTTTTCAATCTCTCGTCGTTTGGTGTGGGGGGCCCTGTACGGAGGTTGGCGAATTGGGGGACTAGGCCCGACATCAATTCTATGTTGGACCAGGTTTGTTCGACCCAAGCTTTTGGTTGAATGAGACAGGACGTCGGAGTATTCGATAAGCAGTTCTGAGAGGGCTTGTTTCTCAGGTTTAGACAACACGGAGTTGGTCAGGTTGGGAAAATCAGAGGGCGTGGCTGAAGCGGGAGTTGGGCTTGGTGGGGTTGGTGTTCTAGGTGGGTCTTGCAGATCAGCGAAATCAGATTGGTGGATTGTGCTTGCCAAGGGGTTGATAATAGGTAGTGAGGTGCTTCTCTGAGTTGTCGTGGGTAATCCTGTACATGACGTAGGGGTGGGCGGATCAGTAATAGGTGTGGTCTCGAAATCTTTTTGTGTGAACTGTCCTAATGTGGCACCACGGAAGATTGTGACAGGCTCATCAGTTGGATTTAGTAACCGGAAAGGGATATTTCCTTGTATGTCTGGGCATACCAGGGATGCTGCACCAGCTAGATGGTATCTGTTGAGGAGTCTCTCTCCTGGCTCAATTAAACCAATAACATTATTTGTTATCTGACCAACAGTTGCTGGAATGACAGCTTCGCAATGTGCATCAATTACTTGGGTTTGACCACATTTAACGGGCAAGGAGCTGGGTGGGCAATTTTCATCCGCAAACATGAGCACATTGTCACCCAAAAATTCAACGGTATGGGCACCCATATTGATGATAGCACGGTTTTGTTGCAGAAAGTCGCGACCGAGAACGGTAGAATAGCTAAGACCGGACACTAATAGGCGCTGCAGCTGTATTTTGTATGCCCCAAAGTGAGATCAAAGGTCACAACGCCTTCAATTGGTATGTGAGCACCGTTTGCCGTTTTGACCGATCGGAGCACTTCACTATTTTCTAGGGGTGTTGATGTACTTAAAACTTTATGGTAAAATTCTGTACTGATTACTGTCACAGCAGCACCAGTGTCCACAAGAACTTGTATAGTTTAGTGATACAGTACCATTAATCAAAACATTACTGAATTGGGTTGACTGATCCAGGACATTAGTTGATGGGGAAATGGATGGAATTTCCGATCTATCACGTACATTTGGCCTGGGACTTTAGGGAAACATTAATACTCTAGGTAATGTAGAGGGTAGAAGGGGTGGTTGTGTTTGTATAAACTGACTTTGTTGGCTGGTTGGACATGGTGGTGAATAATGTTCATTGAAATGTCCACTCGTTTGCCAAAACGTGTCTGGATAAGAGCTGTTGTGATATCGATTTGGTGGGGAATATCCAGTTACTTGCGGGCCCCCCTGTGTCCCCATATGGAAGGCCCTTGGGAGTTTAAATACCCAGCATTATTCTCAGGATGTGGTGGTGGTGCTAAGGGATACTGATAGTTATGATAAGGGGGCTGGGGAGGAGGGACATAGCGACTTTGGGGGCGGATTGATAAACGGGACGTACCTGCTTCCTTGCAATACCTTGCAACATGCCCAACTCTTTGGCAGGTATTGCAGATTGGCTGCCCGTCCGTTGTTCGAAGGTTTCGTCCTCTGCTGTCTCGCCGGGGATATCTGTTTCCTACACTGAAATCCTGTCGGTCTGTTGGGGCATTTTGTGGTGTGTCTTTCCTGATTTCGTCTCGAACTGCTGCTATGATATCCCTTTTCATGGCGTCGATATCCTGGGTAGAGGGAGTCTGAACAGGGGGATAATTGGTTGAAATAGGTGCTACTGTGGATGCTCGTGGTCGGTCAATAGTGGACATTAAAAGTTGCACTTGGCCCTCGAGCTCTGCTAGGCGTTGTCGTTCTCTGAGGTTATTATTAGAAATTGTTTCTACTTGTTTCTCTGAAGCTTTTTTCTCATTTAGGAGATCATGTATCTGATTTATTACATTATTTGGAGCAGGTAACTCTGCTTTGCCACATTTTGTACTTCTGCTGACAGTATCTTTCAGGCGCGCCAAGGATTCGGCTTCCTCAAATGTTGTTGGGCGGTTCAAAATGACATGCGATTTTAACTCGTCGTTTAGTCCTGATATGAAACAGTTCATTCTGTTGGTGTCATTAAGTCCAAGTCGGCTGCATCTACGAATAATGTCCTCTGTGTAACTGTTAAGGCTTTCGCTCTTACCTTGCTTTCGCTCATTTAATTGTTGTCTCTGAAGGAACTCTTCGTTTGGTGAAGCAAATCGCTGTCGAAGGGCCGTTATTAGACTAGCATAATTGTTCCTTGTCTCGTCTGGTACCGTATGTAGCCATGCCAACGCTGGGCCTTCAAACAATAGCATTAATGCAGACAGTTTCTTGGCGTTTGTCCAATTATAAAACTTGCTGTATCGTTCAAATCTTTCGATAAAGTCGGTAATATCCTCATACGAAAACCCACTGAAGGATTTTGGGCGAAAAAATGACGATGATGATTGTCCTTCAATGGCAGCTTGCATGGCTGCCATCTGCATTCGTAGTGATTCGACCGTTTCTTCGACGTTTCCGGCTTCTGGAATGTCAACTATAGCGTCCCTTTGCATCGTTCCTTTTGACAGCTGTGCTTTGTATTTTGTAAACAATACGTTCTCGTCGGGGTCACCAATGTTATGATATTAAATTATACTGTCACACGTAATGTTATGCTCTGTTTTATTATCATAAATATGCGTCTAAAATACTCAATTCGTCAATACTTGAATCACATATCTTCTTCCTAGCCTCCAAAACAAAATCTCCTCATGGTCCGTACTTTTCCCAACTTTTCCCCACTAATTATCGTCTCTTCGTCACTACTTAAAAATGGACTGTTCACGTGTTCAGCGCATGCCATTGCTATTGTTATAATTATCTCGTAACACTATTCTTTCACCTCAGAAAGCTTAACATATACATATATAATTATACCGATATAGCCTTCTAAACTTTAATTATGATTTTTGGCACTTCACTCTATGCAGGTTAATTCTAGAAGTTTAAAGGGTCTTAATTTCGAGCGGAATTACATGCACACACTTCAAATTCAAGCCAGGAAGATTTGATGGAAAAATGAGTCAACTATAGGTCCTGAAAATCTATTCACAACTTTATCATGTTTCGCTCTGCTTGGTTTACCGGCCTTTCGCCTACATGCTGGATTGACATGTGCGCTCTCTCTCTGTGTTGTATATATATGCGTTGTAAAGTATTGTATTTCATTCTGTCTGAAGATGACTTTGTAATAAAGTCGTAATTTACAGTCTTAATCTGTGTCTTGTTTGAATTATATTTTGATTCTCAAGATGTTTTGTTTATTCGCAATTTGCTTTTTACTTTAATTTCCATCAACTGTTTCTGCCTTTAATTTGAAATGTGTGTATTTTCACTCGAAATTAAAACCATTTAAACTTCTAAATTTAAAATTGTGCAATGCATAGCTACATCAAATTCTCTAAACAAAGTCAAAAGGCAACATGAAACATTTTCGACACAATTGCACCAAAGAATATAATTTGCATTATCACGACACTGTTCCATCCCACGCCAGACTTATAGTCCAATCAAAAACGTTGGAATTTCATATTTTCAATTTATACTATTCTATCATCTCTCAAGTCACAAAGGCCTGATTCTCTCACAAGGCATATCACATATGCACAGGCATTCGACAGCTAAACATATACTGATATAGTCTTTTATACCTAATTCTTCTAAACTTTGAAATTGAGCGATGACTACATCCAATCCTTTGACTAAAGTTGCAAGGCAACATGAAACAACTTGGACACAGTTGCACAAAAGAATATCCGACGTTCCCTTTCGGTTCGAAGAAATTTTTCCGGAGGATATCGCCTTGTTTCTTCGCCACAAAGCAGTTTCCCTAAACAGCTCTATCGGCTACCTGGCGCCCGCCTTGCTAACCACAACTTCGTTTCTCTCAGCTAAAAACGGATGGACCGTTGAAACGATGACCCACGAGCAACCGATGAACATATATATGATGATTGTTGGCTATCCAGGGACCGGAAAATCATCTGCAATACAACATGGTTGTCTTGAACACATGGCAGATGACAATTCGACATTTCTCGTTGACAGGACAACATCTTCTGGTCTAGTCAAGCATTTGGCAACAAAAGAGGGTGCATTTTTAGTGTCACCGGAGATTTACGATGTACTCAACAAGTTATTGAAAAATGATGACGAGAACGCAAGCGGTGATGCGATGCTTTTGTGTAAGCTGTTTTCGGGCGAATCTAGCAGCTACAACTATTCAACCGAACAGACGCGACTTATCCATGCAAACACTCCCTTCTCCATCCTGGGTTGTACTCAGATGCCAAATGCCGCAAAACTAATCGCAAGAATGGACAATGGCCAAGGTTTAATCGACCGCTTTCTAGTCGCTGTCCCTAGAGTTCTTTGTCCAACTTCAGTCGAAGTAGGAACTGCCCGAGACTACCTATCTACCGAACCAGACGACATGCTTAAACAAACATTTCAGCAGCTACATTATTGACTGCCAACAAAGTCAAACCGGCCCTTATACTTTCGACGAAGACGCGAAACAGTTGTTAAAATCCCAGAAAGATGATTTTATCGTAGAAGTGAACGAAGCTATTCAAGACGGCTCATTTGTCCCTCCAAAATCCAAGCAACTCGACTTGATTCCTCGACTCGCTGCTGCCCTTCACGTGTTCACGGTCGCCCTCAACAACGTGCTGTCTGGTCATGTTGAAAACCCAATGCCCACCACAATTCCGCTCAACATCTTACAATATGCTGTAAGATACGTTCGCCACCTTGAAATGCAGAAGCACATGTTATGCGAAGTAAGTTGTATACACATGCATGAATTATAAATATTACGTTATTGAAACTACTGTAATCGTACACAACATCAATACTATTCCAATTACATGAACATTAATTCTTAAATATATTTCATTTTTTATAGTTCATTAAGACAATCACTCACAATGTTTGTGATGCTGCAAGACCTCAACCCATCGTGGCGGATATCAAAACGGCTATTCTTCTTTTCCCTGGACCCGTTGTTACTTATCGTGCCTTTCGTCAATATGCCCCTCGTTTTCTCCGTGCATCAACTAAGGAAGAATATAGTAATGCCGTTGAGCAACTCAAGCCAGACTTTGGCTCCGTTATCGCTGCCCGTGTCGCCAGAAGACCCCAGGTCATTAAAGCATTTGTCAAACGCCGACCAAACACCTTTGCCACCTGGCCCTGTTCTGATCTTTGCAACGCAAACGAATACGCCTCCAAGTTTGCTCTTCCTATTCACAAGGCGATCACAAGCAACATTAAGGACATCCTTCTCCGCCAAAATGCTATTTTGCAAGAACAGTTATAACTAAATACTGTAGTATATAATTAAAAATGTAGCGCATTAAAATCACATAACACAAAAAAAAACAAAACAAAAAAAAACAAAAAAAAACTAACGAAATTATATCAATGTCGCGTAACTTCTTTCAAAAAACGGTAAAACACTCATAATTGCCTCGTTCTCGTAAAACTCACTGCGTAGCCGCGTAGCCACTTCAAAACATGTCCACATCAGTGATTTACGTAATCAATGCATTGCCTCGTTCTGGTAAAATTCACTGCGTAGCCGCGTAGCCACTTCAAAACATATCTACATCAGTGATTTACGTAATCAATGCATTGCCTCGTTCTCGTAAAACTCACTGCGTAGCCGCGTAGCCACTTCAAAACATATTTACATCAGTGATTTACGTAATCAATGCATTGCCTCGTTCTCGTAAAACTCACTGCGTAGCCGCGTAGCCACTTCAAAACATATCTACATCAGTGATTTACGTAATCAATCCATTGCCTCGTTCTCGTAAAACTCACTGCGTAGCCGCGTAGCCGCGTAGCCACTTCAAAACATATCTACATCAGTGATTACGTAATCAATCCATTGCCTCGTTCTCGTAAAACTCACTGCGTAGCCGCGTAGCCACTTCAAAACATATCTACATCAGTGATTTACGTACATCAATCATCCTCGTAATCAATCCATTGCCTCGTTCTCGTAAAACTCACTGCGTAGCCGCGTAGCCGCGTAGCCACTTCAAAACATATTTACATCAGTGATTTACGTAATCAATCCATTGCCTCGTTCTCGTAAAACTCACTGCGTAGCCGCGTAGCCACTTCAAAAATATTTACATCAGTGATTACGTAATCAATCCATTGCCTCGTTCTCGTAAAACTCACTGCGTAGCCGCGTAGCCACTTCAAAACATATCTACATCAGTGATTACGTAATCAATCCATTGCCTCGTTCTCGTAAAACTCACTGCGTAGCCGCGTAGCCGCGAATATTTGTAGCATAACTTCAGAAATGGACGGGTATTCTGCAATCGCTCCGACAATTCTTTTAGGCTGAACGAGGATGAAATCGACTTATCAGTCTTATCTAGAGCCAACGCTTTATGCGTATTGAAGTTTAAGGAAAAAGGACGTGTCCCACAAACAGTTGTAAATTCATTTGTTGAAAATGCGACGCAAGTGGTGCAAACCACCATTGACTTTTTGAAGGCTGGAGTAACTAACTGCCTTCAGAAGGCTGGAATTGACATTGACACTTTGCCGGAGTTACCTGAGTTATTCAATGAAAACAACCCAATATCAAACCCATTCAAGGGTATTGACAAGGAGTCCTCTCAATACAAGTACTACAAGGAGAATTTTGATCTTGTTGTAAGTATAATATAAATTTATTTAAATTCTTTTGTGGTCTTATAAAGTTAATGTTTTGTAACACATGCTTGTTTTATATGATTTGATAGTCTGAATCTTCAACAGTTAGAAATCTAGCACAAACAAGCAACCTGCTGATATTTGCCAGGCTGCACCCATTGATTGGATTGTCAGCTGATATTATTGTATAGTTGATTTTGGTTTGAACATGCCTTATATTTTCAGGAACCGCAAAAGATTGTTCTTGGAAGATACCATGTAAAGAAGAGAAAAGGAAACAAGTTGAAAGATGTTGAAGTTACAGATGATGCCTATTATGTCCCACTTCTAGAAAGTTTACAGCAATTGCTCAATGATCAATCAATACTTTTTGAGGTTGAGAACCCGCATGGCATGCAGAGATGATGGACTCTTGTGTGATTTCTGTGATAGCGAATGTTTCAAACAGCACCCCCTATTCAGTGTAGATCCAAATGCACTACAGATCCTTGTATACTTTGATGAAGTGGAAGTGTGCAATCCATTAGGATCAAGAGCAAATAAGCATAAACTTGGTCAGTACAGTTAGCTTTTTTATTATTCTTGTTGTTCTGCTACCCAGAAATTAAATTTTTGATTATTGTCTTCAATAGCTGCATTTTATTACACATTGGGTAACATACGTCCAGAGCACCGATCACATCTCAATGCAATTCAACTACTTGGACTTGTCAACAGTCAATATCTGAAGGCCTATGGTATAGATTCTGTGCTTGAAGTATTAATGAAAGATCTTCACAAGTTAGAACAGGTATGATTTTTAATTAACAAATGCACCACTAATTAGGTATAATTAGGGTATGTATTTTAAATAACTTTATTTTTCAGGATGGTGGCTATGAGTTTATGATTAATGGTGCCCCAAGGAAACTTGCTGGTACTATTGCATATATTTCTGGTGACAATCTTGGGTCACAATTGCTAGGCGGATTCAAGCAAGGCTCGCAGTCCCACAGGAAATGTCGTGTGTGTATGGGGAATGCTACAGAGATAACTCAAAGTGTATGTATATAAGTATATTTATTTTATAAATGAATACCATGTTGGTAAACAGTTATGTAAAAATGGATGAAAATCGAAACAAATATAATAGTTGTGTTGAACTTTCTTTGAAAACTATGTATTGGAGGTAACTCAGTTTAAATGACTGTAATCTGTTCATACATGTACAACCTAATAGCCATTTTAGTGAATTGCATGTGTGGTCACATGAGAATGATTTATTTCATATGTATGTTAAATACACTAACTTGTTCATTTTTATGGTTTGATTTAGTTTCATGAGGACGATTTTGTGCTCTGCACAAAAGATGCTTGTGATAAGCAATGCGAGAGGCTTGAACAGGGAGACCATTACAAGAAAACCTATGGACTTAACCAGTTTTCTTTGCTAAACACCTCAAGATATTACCATGTAATTGGTGGACTGCCACCTGATGCTATGCATGATATTTTGGAAGGTGTCCTCCAGTATGCTGTTAAAGAATTGCTAAAGGTCTTTATCTTTCAAAAGAAGTATTTTAGATTGGATGACTTGAACAGAAGAATGGCAGCATTTGACTTTGGGTATCATAATGATACAAATAAACCTGCACCAATTCAAGCTCAAAAGTTGGCATCACAAGACAACAGTTTGAAGCAGCATGGTATAATAATTTCTTTGTTACTGATTTCATTATTACTGGTATTATGTTAACCTAAATTACCAACAATGCCCCCTGTCCTTAATTTGGTGACACTTGCAGATAATTGAGTTTACAATTCAACATTCAATTTTTTAAGCTAACCAGATGTGGTGTCTTGGAGTACACTTGCCCTTTCTAATTGGCGATTTGGTACCAGAAGAAGACGAACACTGGGAATTATTTTGCACTCTACTTCAAACTGTGCGAATTATCTTCAGCCCAGTTGTAAGCAAGGACCAAGTAGCCTTACCACATTTAAAGAGCTTTTTCCTGAGTGCAGCATTATTCCAAAAATGCATTACATGGTTCACATGCCTAGAGCAATACTTCAGTAAGTACAACCAATTGTATTGTTGCTTATTGTTTTGGAATGAACCACTGTAATATGTACCTATCTTTAGATTAAACTATGTACTTTGCTGTCTGTAATTGAGCATCATCATGGAAGACCTTACAAAGATTATTTTTAAACAGACTTTACTAAAAGACATACATTTGCAAATGATATTTCTGCTCTCTTTTAACAGATTTGGACCTTTAATACGAAGTTGGTGTATGCGGTATGAAGCCAAGCACCACTATTTTAAAAGGTTGGCTATTGTTCTTGGAAATTTCATTAACATCTCATATTCACTGGCAAAAAGACACCAAGAGGGAGTTTGCTATCGGCTTCAATCCGCAGAAGGTGGACAAAGTTCATTTATTGACAAGGGAATAGAAACTGGTCCGGGTACTGTACATTATTTTATTGTAGTACTATATTTAAAATTCATACTGTGTTTGAAGCTACCTGATTTTGGCAGTTTCAAAAAGGATGCATGGCACTCCAATACATATTTTAAATGCCAATTTCTAATGAAATCCCGTATTATTTTATGTAGGTAAAGTATCTCATGTTGGTGATTCTGACTTCTGTGAACTCATTAAAGCAGAAGCTTGTAGCACAGAAAGAAAAACACCGTTATATAAGTAAGTTTTCTAAGTCTAACATTTGCTCCCATATATGTCTCTGAAGAGGTTATAAGGAATATGATTTATCTGTTATGTTAAACAGTCACATTTATATAGGGTATTACTGCAGGTTAAATTAGTGCCATTAGTTTCCATAAATGTTATCAAAGATTGATTAGATAATTAATTTTTTCATAGAGCCAAATGGATATCAATTCACGGTACTAAATATAAAGTCGGAGCAGTGTTGCATGTTGGATTTGATTCTGATGAGTTCCCACAATTTTGTGAAATTGTTGAAATTAATGTTGTTAACAACAACCTGAAGAATCCCTTGTTTGTTGTGTCAGAGAAGGAAACAGTGAGGTTTTCAGACCATTATCAAGCATATGAAATTGCCCCCTCAGTGCAGAAAAGGAATAAAGTGGTTTACTTCAAGGAATTTACATCACATTTACCATTAAACTTAATCAAGCCATTTGGACGCTGCGAAAAATTCGTGTGTTTAAGATACGAAATGGTTAATCTGTAAATTTATGCATTCATATTTGTGTTTCTTTGAGTAACACAATATTAAAGTTCTCTAATTTATAAACCTTTTTTTGATATTTGTCAAACAATAAATATAATGTGAAGTCCAGTCTGTGCTTATATTCTGCTCATAATAGTTTTTGAGTCAAAATTTTGTAAACTCAAAAAAGGGTTGATTTAGCACTAACATATAGAATTTACACAAAACGCCATTTATTTAGCATAACTAGTTGTATAAGTGTTCAATCAACACCCATGTGCTCTAACTCCACAGTGGTGCTGATTTAGCACTTCTAATATTAACACTTTTTCTAGTGCTGTTTTAGCACCAGCCCTCTTATGTTCTAACTCAAAACTGGTGCTGATTTAGCACTTGTCTTTTTAACACTTTTACTAGTGTTGTTTTAGCACCAGTGTTTCTCTTGTAAGTGCTAATTTAACTCCCGCAAAGTGGTGTCAAATAATTTGAGTGTTGAATTGACCCCTTTACAAAATATTAGAGTTAAATCAGCTCCAAATTAGGTGTTAAAATAGCACTTTTATTTAACACCACCATTGGGTGCTGATTCAACTATAGTCTTGGTGCTAATTTAACACCCAGAAATTAACAGTGTGGTTTCATAATTCATACAAAAAGCATCTGGAGGAGACAGATCTTTCGGTAGTGATGTAAACCATGGCCAATACTTGCAGATAACGTCCTGCCACAAAAACTGAACCCCTCGCGGAACTAAACGGTTGACTTGAAGATAATGAGGATACCTAAATAGTTCACCTTGGTACATATTAACTGCGCCTATTGCAAGAGCATGTCGGCATCCAGCAACGTCAATTCCAGTTTCGTCCAGTTTTGTTCTTTTATGGGCAGAATCTTTTGCAGCTTTCCAGTTGGATGTTCCACAATAAGGATTTCCCGATCTTTTCTACATCAAAAACTTCTCTTTTTAGTTTCATCATTTACTGTCAATCCAATGGAAGTGTTGATAAAATACTGCATCAATTCATTTCCTGCAGCTAAACAATTCATTTGATAGAAAATTGCTCAACTTCCCGTTTACTAGCATACATGTTCCCAGTTGGTCAGTCACAAAAAATTACTTGATAAATTCTAGGTAATGAATTGATGCAATATTCTATCAACACTTTCATTGAATTGACAGCGACAGTGACATAACAATGTAGATTACCCTTGATGCAGACGAATCGTACACGTTTTTGAGATGTGCATCCGCAACACCCCTCTCCTCCACAAATAGATTGCCATAGTAGCTTTCCTTTCACCTCTTAAATAGAACAAAAAAAGCTAAATGAGAGAAAGTTTCATATAAAAATCTAAGTGTAAAGTGTATCTAATAAAATCTAAAGTGTATTTGTAATAGATTACAAACTATTAGCTACATAAAGCAGCTTACACTTGCAATTTTCGCTACGATTTCTAGTCCAATTTTCTTCTTCTGATCGATGTGAACGATTGGAAGTGGTACGAATGTTCAGAGAAGAATGCATATTCTTAGAAAATTCATAACTCGTCTACTTATTCAAATCCATCAGAAGAAAATCACACTAGAACTAGCAGCAAAAATTACAAGTGTAAACCAGATACTGTGTACTAAACAATTAGTTTGTAGCAATTAGTTAATTTTTTAAAATCATTATCATTATAATACCTTTCAGGACCTTAAACATCACTGACCAATAGCAAATTTCTAGTTCTAATGATTAAGAAATTGACACTAGCAAGATTACCTTGGCGCACAACTGTATCTATATAACCGGCTTTGCATTTCCATTCACATGACAAGAGTGTTGAGACTTGTAACAAGATGGACAGTCAATCCAGTTCTTCCCTTTAATGGCATCTAACTCATGCATCGCAAAGCACCACTCTTTAAATGCACGATGGAAAACTGCAACATTGATAGTTGATGACTACAAGGAAAATCATACTAAGTAAACTGGACTTATGCTTATGTGATATTTTTTTAATAAAGCCCGATATATATATTTCATACCATAACAAAAATTTTAACCAGTTAAGTACTCATGTTTGTATGTATTTTATTATTGCAGGACTTCTTTATAAGCATCATATTTTGACAAACATAATAGTGAAGATATCACATCAATGTACATTGTACTGCAAATGCACAGTCTCGCATCAATAAATTATACAATTAACACGAATTGTTGACCCTTTGATGAGTAAAACTGTAAAAGCATTTAGTGTAAAACAGAGTAAACCAAACAATATTTTGTATTAGGTGATTTTTCAGGTTGCTCAGTTTCAATCCACACAGGTGTTAAGTAATATTTTACATACTCTGCCTCTTTCACTAGAAATATTTCCCAGTGATCTAAGAAATGCCGTTTCTGATGTTCCAGACATGTGCTTCCTCACAGAGTCCCACAGTCTGAATAGCTGTTCTGAGAAAACAGGATTAAATTGCTTTGGACTTCCTGGCCAATCACCCTCCATAATAATTTTCTCAAGGGTGACTGGTGAGAAATCCTCATCACAATCATTGCAGTAATATGAGCAATGGAATAGATCAAATCGACCTTCAGTAAAAGAAAAATAAATGGATTTATGGCAATGTACTTTCTCTATGGTAATGTGCTTTCTCTAGGAGGCAATCTGGGCCTGCATTGTATTGTGCTGTCTATAGTAATGTACCTAACACCTGCTGATAAGCGTTCTACAGTATATGAAACACTGCATATAATGTTCATTCAGTTGAATAATAAAGTAAAGTATGTTTCCTGTACAGAAAATGATGCGGTTACTCAGGACAATTCATTACTGTAGATAACTTTATAATACCTTCACAAATGATCACAATACAGCTTTCAGTCGATAAAACCAGTTCAAGTGTTCCCTGTCTTTTACAAAGCAAACATGCTAGCACACCTTTCTGAAAAAGACAAATTCAATATAAGTTATTTGTCAATATAAGACTGACCACTCACCATCCACTCTGGTAGTTAGTAATTAATTTGTAATTTGACCCATTGCAGTTAAAATACAAGAACTTTGAATTGAATGAAGTTACCACTTCTGCTTCTGTAGTTTGACATTTTCTGTAATTTGTTATGTATTACTGTAACGGTTACCGGTTTTATATCAGCAAGTATCAATATATGGCTACAAAATTTAGTTTTCTTTGTTTTTATATGATAATTTGTAGCGAGAGATGCATTTTGCACTATATTCGCTGCATTTTAACAGGTGAAAGAAACGAAATTTGAATTTTATCGCTGTATTGTCTATAAATCGGTAAATGTTGCAGTAGTACAGAATAAATTACAGAAAATGTCAACAAACTACAGAAACGGAAGTGGGAAGGTTCTTGTATCTTGACTGTGCCAGCACTCTCGACGACAAGTAAAATCGTCTAGCGTTAGAAAGAATAAAATAGTCTGGCGTTAGATAGAGTAGAATAATAAACCAGGGTGCAATGCGACTCGATGGGTTAATTTGTAGTAAAAATTAATACTGTATATGTGAAAAACATATGAGAGTTTTCCTTGGTAAATACTGCTGTTTGCAAGCTACCATAGGCGTGTGATTGTTTTTATGTATCTATCTATAAAGCTTGCAAACAGCAGTACAGTAGAAACTCATATTTATTATTATTTAGCAGCGAAACAACGCTTCAAAAATCTGCCAACCAAAGTTTGAAAAAGGACGATCTGTAGTTAATTTGCACCCTTCTGTATGGTCAACATCAATTACATCATCTAGGGTGGATAGATATATCACTTAAGAAATGATTAGTAATCTATTTATGCATTTGAAGGCTGTATTTATGTTTATGATAAGATGGAATTTACAGTACGAAACACTCACCAGTATTATTACAGTCGTAACTTGAATTATGTCCTTTCCTGCTGGTCGCTCAGCAACCGAACGATACTTATACTTTGACGGTTCTCTTGTATCTGAGCCATCTAAAGAATACACAAAATCGCTCTTTTTTCGAGAATTCGTCTTCTTTAAATTGCTAGACACTTCTTGTAATTTTTCCTTCGAGAGCACTAGACGGTGAATTTTTACGTTTTCTTCCTCGACCACGTCCTGTAGACGTCGCAATCTTGGAAACACTCGGTTATCAACTAGAGCTAAAAATGTGTTCTGGGTACTAGAACTAAAAATCGCTTGGGATTACCAACTATTGTAATTGCCAGCCAGTTTGACAAATACCTATTATTGGTAATCCCAGACTGAGGATGTGTTGGTTGCCTTGGTTCTCAGATATCATACCCTGACAAGTGACAACATATACAAGTTCCACAACCATCAGGCAAGTCACAATACAACATTCAATTAATATACCTAAACTAATAAATAGTTGAATTTAACACGCACGAATTCAACAACTATTCATCGAAAATACTTCAGGCTTTAATTATTATAAAAATATCATTTTGTTTTAAATACTGTCCGAAACTGCATGTTGCCATTTTGATGTGAACTGTCACGTGGTCGGTGTGATAACCAAATAAACCAATATAAGCAATATATAGCGCTCACGTATTTATAAATGTTTATAAATGTTTATGATATGTATATAATTGCTGTTGCACATTCTTTTATTTATAAATAATGAATGTGGTTTTCCAGTATTGTTAACAATGTTGTCGAAGCTTGTTGAATCATCAACGTTGTTCCAACTTGTTACAACAACATCCGAAATGATTATTGCATTGTGATTGCAACAACATTGATGATTCAACAAGGTTCAACAACATTGCTAACAATACTGTTCCCAGGGTGCAACACAACATTGTTCACTCCTGATACGACAAGCTGATCACTTTTTGCCGTGTATATAAGCTTCTTATTTTCTATCCGATCACTAACCTAAACCTAAATCCAAGGAGGTTCAATTTCGTAAAATGTTGGCATTGCCAATTGCTCAGTTACTTGCAATAGCATACAAAATAAATAGAAAAATCGCGGCTAATGTATAACGTGAGTACTTTTGAGTATAATTTCTCCTTA